CCCATCGCTCCGAAACCGGACGAAGGGGCCCGAGGGACAGCAAGAGAGCGCGCCTTTTCCCACGCCGAGACCAGCGCGGAGGTCGGACCCTTGGGACGCGCGGAGACCCGCTGTGGGGCCACGGGCGCGTGAGACAGGACGGCCTCGATCCCCGCAGGATCCAGCCCGAGGCGCACCGCTTCGTCGCTGAAAAGCTGAGGCACCTCGGGCCGATCGCTCCGGGCAGCCGGCGCGGGGCCCAGCGGCTCGGGTCTGCCGACCATCGTGGAGGCCGCGTGGGCTGCAAGCAAGGCGCGCATTTCGGCAGCTACTTCGGCACGGGTCATAGGAGCCCCGTCGTCCAGAGACGCCGCAGGGGCACCAGGAGCGATCGGAGCGGGACCCGCAACCCGTGGCGGCGCGGCGGTGCCCGCGCGCTTCGCGGGCGGGCCGCGCGGCGCTCCAGCGTCCGCGGGAGATCGCGCACTTGGGGCCGTGCGGTCGGCTTCCCCGTCGGCCGCGAACCCCTCGGGCTCCTCCATCTCGTCGGCAGAGTGATAGGGAGTAGCCCGATCGGCCCCTGGGAGCGGCTCTTCTCCTGCAGTAGGCGGGGCGCCGTGCAAGCGTGCGTAGCCCTCGCGAAGCACCCGAACCCCCGAAGGATGTGGCCAATAGACGCGGCCCCGCACCTCGGCGAAGGGAACGATGACTGCGTCCTCCCCGACCTCTAGAGGGTAAAGCGACTCGAGCTCGAGCTCTGCAACCTCGATGTCTACGACGAGGACGGATGCAGTAGTGGCGAGCGGCCGTGAAGCGGCCCCCTGGAGCTGGACGTCCACTAGCTGGAAAGGGCCTATCATTCCTGCAAAGCCATCCGCCTCGGCAGCCACGAGCTCCGCCGTAGAGCGAAAGGCGCCAGGCAGGGCCAGAAGGATGCCCCCTTCTCGAGACGCGAGGGGGATAGCTGCCCAGCTGGTGTCGCCGTCGTCTAGGCGCCATCGTGCGTAATCGCGAGCCGTGGGAGCCGCGAATGGGTAGAGCTCGGGCCATAGAGGCCCTCCGCCAACTGGTGGCAGCTCAGCCATCAATGGGCGCTGTCGTGGGAACTGCCGCCCGAATGCTGGGCGCCTGCCCGCTCGAGCGCTCGAGGCCGAGGCGGAACCCCGTAAGCCAGCGCTCGCGCCGCACGGCGGTCCTGCTCAGGGGAAGCAGGAACCGCACCGCGCGGCCAGGCGGAGGCCCTGAGCCTCCGCCACACGTACGGGCCCAGCAGCCCGAAGCAGCAGCCTGCGCAGGCGCTGCACGCGGCCGTCACCCAAAGGAGGGCGACGACCGTGCTGAGCAGCCAGGGAGAGACCCCGCCGCTCAGATCCACCGCCAGCCCGAGGCAGACGGTGGGGCAGGCGGAACCCGCCGAAGGGAGGGGGCAGTAAGCCCCCTCACCCTCGGACGAGTCCGCCTGCTGGATGGACCAGGCAGGCGCAGGAGGCCCTTGGTCCTGAAGCACAGAGAGGGGGGCAGACACGAGCCGCTCGTAGAGCGCGGCCCGCAGCCCCCTGAAGAAGATCTCCCCAGCGCCCCCGAGAGCCGCTTGTGCGACCGCCTGCATAAGGCGTCCGCACGCGCGGCCGACGGGGGGGCACTTGGGCAGAGAAGCTGCGGAGACAGCAGGAGCTTGCTCACAGAGAATAGAAGAAGCATGGTGCCCCGATGGATGATGATCATGTTGTTAACGATGATGATGAAATGATGATGATGATGATGATGGTGTCCCGATGATGATGTTTATGATGATGGTGATGTTGTTGTCGATGACGATGATGACGTTGACTGTGATATCGAACGTGATATCGATAGTGAGATCGATAGTGAGACCGAATGCGAGATCGATTGTGATGACGATTGTGATATCGATAGTCAGGTCCCTTGTGAGATCAAGCGAATGATATAGATCGAGTGAGATCGATTGTGAAATCGATCGAGTGAGATCGATCGAGCGAGACCGATAGTGAGATCGATAGTGAGATCGATAGTGAGACCGATAGTGAGACCGATTGAGTGAGACCGATTGAGTGAGACGTTGGTTCCCCCACCCCCGAACCTCCTTATCACCCGAAGGGTGGTCGTATAGGTATACATACATACATACATACATACATACATACATACATACATACATACATACACATACATACATACATACATGCATGCATGCATGCATGCATGCATGCATACATACATATAAACATATAAGCATGCATACATGCATACATGCATACATACATGCATACATACATACATACATGCATGCATGCATGCATGCACATACATACATACATACATACATACATACATACATACATACATACATACAAACATACATGCATGCATGCATGCATACATACATACATACATACATATATACATGCATACAGACAGACAGGCATACAGACATACAGACATACAGACATACAGACAGACAGGCATACAGGCATACATACATACAGACATACAGACATACAGACATACATACATACAGACAGACAGACATACATACATACATATATACATACACAAAACTGCATTGGCGCTGCGCGCCTTGCACCTTGGTCCTTTGAGTTCTGCACGCGAGCGGAATGCGTGCGTGCGAACATGCGCGCATGCATGTATACACGCGCACGTGCATGCACATTCCGTATAAATGTCTAGGTGTATACAATATACTTTCATTGTTGAATGTGTTTGCAGCGTACAGATGTACATATAAATTTACGTGTGTAAGGGTATGAACATGCATATGCAACTCGTACGGGGCATCCTCGGGCATCTTCGCTGCATGCCACGAGACCCTCAACGACTGGGTCACAATATGAAATGTCATGGGAGCAAAATCAATGAATGTTGGCATTCGGAAACATCGTGGGGGTGTTTTGGGGGCCCTCGTGGGCCGTTTTGGCGCCGTCATGGGCCGTCCTGGGGCCTTCTTGGGCCGTCTTGGGGAGCTTGGGCCCGCTGGAGCCCCCTTTGGACCCATCTTGGGCACTTCCGGAGACCTGCCACGGCCCTTTTGGGTCTGTGCTGGGAGCCCTCGGGGGGCCTCTTGGTTCCATTATGGGCTGTTTTGGGGCTCTCGTGGGCGATCGTGGGGCCCGGCTCGGCCGTCTTGAAGCTTTCTTGGGGGTCTTTTGGGGCGTCTGGAGGCGATCTCGGGGGCTTTGAAACCGTCTTGAAAGCTGATGAAATCCGAAAGGCAAATATGCTAAGATTGTAAGTTTTACGAAGGGAATGGAACGATTTTTGTGCTTTGAAGGCTCCTTGGAAAGCTTTTTGGGGTGCCTTGGGGGTCTTTATGTTGGCATTCGGAAACATCGTGGGGGTGTTTGGGGGGCCCTCGTGGGCCGTTTTGGCGCCTTCACGGGCCGTCCTGGGCCTTCTTGGGCCGTCTTGGGGAGCTTGGGCCCGCTGGAGCCCCCTTTGGACCCATCTTGGGCACTTCCAGGGACCTCCCATGGCCCTTTTGGGTCTGTGCTGGGAGCCCTTGGGGCCTCTTGGTTCCATTATTGGCTGTCTTGGGGCTCTCGTGGGCGATCGTGGGGCCCGGCTCGGCCGTCTTGAAGCTTTTTGGGGGGCCTTTTGGGGCGTCTGGAGGCGATCTCAGGGGCTTTGAAACCGTTTAAGCTGATGAAATCCGAAAGGCGACTATGCTAAAATTGTAAGTTTTACAAAGGGAATGGAACGATTTTTGTGCTTTGAAGGCCCCTTGGAAAGCTTTTTGGGGAGCCTTGGGGGTCTTTATGTTGGCATTCGGAAACATCGTGGAGGTGTTTTGGGGGCCCTCGTGGGCCGTTTCGGCGCCTTCATGGGCCGTCCTGGGCCTTCTTGGGCCGTTTTGGGGAGCTTGGGCCCGCTGGAGCCCCCTTTGGACCCATCTTGGGCACTTCCGGGGACCTCCCATGGCCCTTTTGGGTCTATGCTGGGAGCCCTTGGGGCCTCTTGGTTCCATTATGGGCTGTCTTGGGGCTCTCGTGGGCGATCGTGGGGCCCGGCTCGGCCGTCTTCAAGCTTTTTGGGGGGCCTTTTTGGGGCGTCTGGAGGCGATCTCGGGGGCTTTGAAACCGTCTTGAAAGCTGATGAGATCCGAAAGGCGAAGATGCTAAAATTGTAAGTTTTACGAAAGGAATGGGACGATTTTTGTGCTTTGAAGGCCCCTTGGAAAGCTTTTTGGGGTGCCTTGGAGGTCTTTTGGGCCGTCCTGACGCAATTGGAGTCCCTCTTGGAGCGCTCTTGTGCTGCCTGGGGCCTCCCTTGAGCCTTTCTGATGACCCCTCGGATCGCTCTGGGTCTGCTGGCAAGGCGTTTGTGGGGACCCGGAAAGCCGGGTGACCTTTTCCAAGGACGTCCAAGGGAGCCCGAGAATCCCAGATCCCGGGGGTCCAGTTGTGGGGGGGGGGGGGATGGTTTCCCCCCCCCCCCCCGGGCTTGCAAAAATACAGGAAGAGGAATAATCGTCCAGGAGGGCTGATGGGGCCAGATCCGCACAAGCTCGGCCCTGGGCCCCCTCCCGGGGCCCACCTGGCGCAGCTCTTCGCCCCAGACCCGTCCCTTCCCCGGCCCCGGGGGCCCAAACCGAAGACGGCCCCTGGAGGCCGAGAAAGGCAAAGACCCCTCCCCAGACATGATCGCGTTGTGCAAAAACATCAGGACGGCAGGTTTTTGGCCAATTTCGGCCTCGGGAGGTCCTCGCCGGGCCTCGGGACAGTCAAAAAAAGATTCAGGATGAAAAACCGGCCCCGGTGAAAGGATCTGGACTTCTGGGGGCGCCGTTCTGAAACATCAGGACGTCGCATGTCTGGGTCTCGAGCCCAGAACCTCGAACCTGGCCGCCCTTCCTGCTGGCCAGAACCAGTGCTGGGCCACCTCGGACCCCCCGACGGCTCCAAGATCCTCCCGCGTGCTCTCGAGCAGCCCCGACGGGAAGCTACCCCTCGGCCCTCCTCGGCCGCCTCCCCTTCCCCCGGAAC